AATGAGCCGTCAGGAAGACCCGAGGTCACAGTCATCACCATCTTGGTTTTGGGGGCTCGTGGCCAGCTCCTTTACCGCATCCTGTTTGATCAGCCGGGTCTCTGTGTCCTGTGTCCTGTGCTGACCTCTCATCTCATGACTTAGAATGCCCTAACCATCTGGGAGTGCAGCCCAGTAGGTCTCAGCCTCATCTTACCCAGCCCCTCTTCAACATGGAGTCACTCTGGTTTGAATGGCTCTGACACTTGGATTTCTTCCTGGCTGTGGGACCAGACAGTCAGGTGGCATGGGGTGACCGTAGGCATCGTCACCCAAACCAGGACACCCAAGAGTTACCTGAGGTGCTGTTGATAATTACCCCAAGACATGGGTATCGACTAGGGTGGTCTTGAGCAAATGGGGATGTGTGGCTAATAGCTGGCATTAACTGGTACTGACTGCTGCATGCAAGGAAGCCACAGGAGTGAGAGTCTCTGCCTGCGGTGCCCGCTGAGGCAGCCTGTGTCGGTCAGCTCGTGGCTGTGTGACCATCCACTCTGAGATGTTGCTGCCTAAGACAGACATTTCCGTGGCCTGTGACTCTGTGGTTGGCAGCGTGGCCCGTGTGGAGCAGAGTGGCTCTGCTCTCAGCTGGGTCTGCACAGGCACTACAGGCAGCTGCTAGGTTTGCGGGGTTGGTGGGTTGGGGTGGGAGGAATGGGCTCCGCCGGGCGACTCTGCTCCAAGTGGTCTCTCGTCCTTGAGGTGGGTGCCCAGTTACAAGACAGAGACCAGGGTGGGCACAGTCTCCAGAGGCCCCAGCGTGGCCTTGGCACTGGGTGGGTTCTGCTTCATTCTGTTGGTCCAACCGAATCCTGTGATGACGGGCTAGGGTGATAGCGTCCCTCTCTCAGTGGGAAGAGCTGCACAAACAGACGCCAGAGGGTGAGTCCAGCAGAGCCCCGGCTGCTCTCACCTCATAGTGCCAGCCAGCCTCCGACCTCCTTCACCTGGTCCTCCTCTAGCGTGGCCAGGAATGAGGGGCCCGGGTCTCCTACCTGGAGAGTTCCCAAGAGATGGGCCGCATGCCCCTGGCTCCTGTGGGAGGATTCTGCTTGGCCCTCCGTCTCGGAATTGGTCTCTTCTTGCCCACAGACTGGAGAATTTATTGCCAAAATATTTATCTGAAATTTATAGGGGGTTGAAACTGTTTCCCTTGAAGCTGTGATTGTGGAGCCTTTCAGTTCTGCCTTCTGCATGAGCATCAGTCTCCCAGGGAACACAGCAGGAAGCAGCTCTGCCAGTCAGATGATGTATTGGTCCTTGGCTTCAAACTGTATGAAAAATTACGAGGTCCTTAAGCCACATACCCCAAAAGCTCAGGGGTCTGCGGCCAAACCCGGAGACCAAACCAGCACAGCCCCCAGCCTTGAGGGCAGCTCAGCTAATGACAGAAACCAGCAGGGCTCCCCAACCCCCACTGCCGGGGGCCCTCGCCTCTCCCCACGTCTGAAGAAGGGCATGTGAAGCTTCAATCCTTCGAGACAGGGTGGGGGACCCAAGGGCCGAGCGACCCGAGGCTGCATTCACCCAGGAAGGGGCTTGGATTCCAGTGCCAAGGTCTGCGGGACCCGGCACCACCTGCGAGCTCAGCACGGCCCGGGCTGGACCCTGCGGAGCCTTGCAGACCGCCTGGCAGGCCCAGCAGGCTCCACGGGGAGTCTCCCCAGGGGCGGGGTGGCCGCAGGTGGCTGCTGGGCCCCTCGCTGTGTTGCCTGGGCTCGCTTGTCGTTTCAATGGACAGACAGACCCGTCTCCATCCGCGTGGTGCAGCGTGCTGTGCTCAGGTCGGGTGGCCGCACAGCCATCTCTCCACTTGCCACTTCCTTGTGGGGGGAACACGATCAGGCCCCTCAGTCCTCCCTCAGTGGCACCCGCTCCTGCTCCTCCTCTCGGGCCTCAGTTTTGCTCCCTGCTTTTTTTTTCCTGAGACAGAGTCTTGCCCTTTCACCGGGCTGGAGCGCGGTGGCTCGATCTTGGCTCACTGCAACCTCCGCCTCCCGAGCTCAAGCAATTCTTCCACCTCAGCCTCCACGTAGCTGGGATTACAGGCACCACCACGCCCGGCTAATTGTTGTATTTTTAATAGAGATGGGATTTCACCACGTTGGCCAGGCTGGTCTTGAACTCCTGGCCTCAAGTGATCCACCTGCCTCGGCCTCCCACAGTGCCGGGATGACAGGCGTGAGCCAGCACGCCCGGCCGGTTTTGCCTCTAATCCTTCTGGCATTGGCGCGTCGAAGGCCAGGAGGTAGCGGAGCATGCAAAGGCCTGGGAAGGGTGTCCGGCCTGGGCATCACCTGTGCCAAGGCCCTGAGAGGTGTGCATGGCGGTGCTGGGAAGGCCAAGGTGCCGTGAACACAGGGGTGGGCAGGGCAGGCATCAGGAGCCCTGGGGGACGTTGTGGTCTCTGTGCGTGGGGTAGACAGGAAGGCTGAAGCTGCCGGAGGCCGCCCCCGAGGCCCATGTGCCAGGCGCTCCTGAAGACGGCCAGGCCCTGGAGGACGAGGCTGTCCTGCTGCAGAGCTTCCTCCATTCCAGCCCCTTCCAGCGAAGGGCAGGGCTCTGCCATGCCACTCCCCCCTGTGAGGCCCCCACCCCCTCACAAAACCTGGTGGTCTCGGGTTGAGGTGGGAGACACCAGTGGAATGTGGGAGGGCAACGGGTGGGATTCACCAACAAGGCCCCTTCCTGCCGCAGACGACAGAAATCCCGCCCTCGTCTCAAAGGCAGAAAGGAAGCGCCAGCCCAGGTGGCTGCAAAACCCCAGGCTGGGCCCCCAGCAGCTCCAGGCCGGCTTTTCTCAGACAGGCTGTCCCATTCCCAAGATGACAGAGAAATCTACGATGCTCCCCAGGGCACCGTCCTCCCACGCGTGAGCCTGACGCAGAAGTGTGGTTCACTCGGGAGGCAAAGGCCACCATAGCCAGGCGCAGCAGTGACGTGGACTCCACCGTCCAGGGAAGGAGCCAGAGTCCTGGGGGTGACGTGGCCGGGACTACAGGGAGGGGGTGTCCTGGGCGGGGCTGAGCAGTGAGGAGGCTCCAGGTGGCTGGGCGCAGTCAGGGAGACACGTTGGCCACGTGCCGTGTAATCATCTCACCAGGGAGGGCGTGGCTCCCTCCTGCCTGGACTCTGGATCTGTCCGGTGGAGGTTGGCATCAGAGCGGCCGTAAATGATCCGTGATGCAGCCTCCCTGTTCTCTCTCCCGCCTGGGACTTGGCTTCCTGAGGGCAGAGAGTGGGGTGGAGGGAGGAGCCCCCTGCTCCCTACACGAGGGATTGGGAGTGGGCTGGGCTGACGGGCAGCCTCTGTGAGTGTGGTCCTCTTCAGGAAAAGGGGTCTTTGCAGATGTGGCTAAGATGACGGTCTGGAGATGAGAGCAGCCTGGACGAGGGCGGGCCAGAACCCAGCGCCGATCGAGGGGCCAGGCTCATCTGGGTAGGGGCTCCGCCCAGGCCTTGGCACCTTCTCAGCACAGCAGAGGGAACGGGCAGTGCCAGGCTGCCCACCCTCTCTCAGGTGGAGGGGGGATTCAGGAGATAAGTACGTGCTCGGCCTGGGCCTGGCACATTTGTGTGCCCCCTGAATACCCAGTGTGGGAGGCTCGGGGCTGAGAACCTGCACGCGGTGGAGTTGGGGCCATGTGGGTCAGACCCATTTGTTCGTGGTGATGTTGGCCCCTGAGGGGCACCAACATTTATTTTATGGGCCAGATGGGTTGGGGTAGGGTGGGACAGCGCTGGCTCAGGGCTCATAGCACATGATGGGGACATGGATTCAGATGTTGGGTGTTGCTATAAGGAACTGGCTCACCAACAGAGGCTGAGAATACTGAGACTGGCCAGTGGCTGGCAGGGGCACCAGTGTGAGCCCAAGCCTGAAGGCAGGAGACGACCCGTCCCAGCCCGAATCGGGCAGAGAGCACGGACCCTCCCTTCCTCGGCCTTTCTGTCCCACTCAGGCCTGCAGGGCGCGGATTTACATGCGGCCAACGTGTCAATGTCCCGGGCCCATACCCTGCCACGCTGACACAAAATGAACCCTCACAGGCAGGACAGTGCGGGGACAGGCTGCAGTCGAACAGATGGTGTTTAAAAGCAGATGTAGGAAGGCCGGGTGGTGCTTTAGTGAAGCGACGTGCAAGGATACGCAGTGGGCCGGGCTCGGCGCTCACATCTGTGACCCCAGCACTTCGGGACGCCGAGGCGAGCGGATCACAGGGTCAGGAGTTTTTGAGACCAGTATGGCCAACATGGTGAAACCCCATCTTTATAAAAATAATTAGCCAGGCCTGGTGGCACACCTGTAATCCCAGCTACTTGGGAGGCTGAGGCAGGAGAATTGCGTGAGCCCGGGTGGGGTGGGGTGGGGGGGCTGCAGTGAGTCTAGATTGCGACCTGCACTCCAGCCTGGGCGACAGAGCAAGACTCTGTCTCACAAACACTTCTACTGCGTGTGGGGGTGCAGAAGGCCAGGAGCTCTGGGGGTATATTTGCTGGAGGCCGCTTGGGTTTTGTTCACAGCCAGGCTGCGTGTGTTCTGGGGTGCGTGGCGTGGCATCTGCACAGCAAGTGGCTGTTTTTAAACGAGATTGTTGGTGTGTGCGGGTGCAGTGGGGGGTGTCCCTGCAGAAAACAAGCAAGCACCGGGGGGTGGGAACCACAGGAAGGAATCTGGTGAGTGTTGGGTCGGCGGAATAACCCCCCACACACACACAACCATCGGGTAACGCACAAGAGAAGCCGCACTCGGTAAGAGGTCCCCGAGAGCAGCCTGCACCCGCCACAGCCCAGGCCTGCGCCTTCTCTGTGGGTGGCGTCCCCTGAAAACAGCCCCCAGGAAGCGACGCCCTGGGACCCACCAGCGGTGCGTGTACGCCAGGAACCCCTGGGAACGGAGGGCCGGGCCCTTGGCGTCTCTGGGGAGGGACCCCACAGCCGGCACTGTCTGCCCGTAGGTGTGGCAGTGTGGCGGCAGCATGGAGGTCCTGCCCTGCTCGCGCGTGGCCCACATCGAGCGCACCAGGAAGCCCTACAACAACGACATCGACTACTACGCCAAGCGCAACGCCCTGCGCGCCGCCGAGGTGTGGATGGACGACTTCAAGTCCCACGTGTACATGGCCTGGAACATCCCCATGACGGTGAGGCCCCTCCCTGCAGGTGTGGACTGGGCGAGCGGGTGAGCTGCCCGTAGTTAAAGCCAGGGAGGGGCGGCCCCTCCGCTCCCCCAGGCTGGGACAGCCTCACATCGGCTTCCCGCCCTGTGGCTGTGTCTGTTCCTGGACGGCTCCCGCCCTCAGGCCATGTTTTCAGGTCACCGTGCTGGCTCCCAGGGCCCAGCCATGGCCGTGGTGTGAATGGGCCATCCTGGGGCCCCTTCCTTCATGGATGGACGTTTGGTGTTTTCCTGTTGGCTTTTGGCCTGTGAATGTCTGACCTGCTTCTCGTTGAGGACTGCTGTTTGTTTTTTAATTTGTAGTCAACTAATTTCCCATAGAGTCTGAATTCTGGCTTTTCTCAAAGTCTTAGGACACCCAGTACCCCGGCCACCACAACCCTGAGAACGGCAGAGGCTGAGAGGGGGCCGAGGGCCCTCCGCCCATCCCCCCACACCCCCGCGGCCATGGGAGCTCCCTTCCTGGCCACTGCAGGCACCGGGTCCCCAAGATCGAAAGGACTCGTTTTTTGCATCAACCCCAGTAAGAGCCAGATCATGCATCATGGCGCAGCGCACACATGCCTTACGTGTACGTCTATCCACGTACCGCACTTTGCACACAGAGCAACCCCTCATTCACAGTACACGATTTAAAAATTCCCACAGCAGCCTCAAGTTGGTTCACCAGCCCCCGCTAGAGTGTGCCCCAGCATGGGGGCAACAGTGCCTGGAGGGCCCCAGGTGCGACCACTCGCCAGCAGATCCAACAGCCCGGCCCCGGGTCAGCTCCCAGGGCAGGCAGAGCAGGAGGGCTGCGGACACGTGTGCTCGTGTCTGAGATGAGAAGAGCGTGCCCGGTGCTCTGCGGCCTTGTTTCCATGAACTGGTCCGGAAAATGTGCAAGGTGGTGACGTCCCCAAGTGTGTGGGCGACTGAATGAGGTCCTGGCTCCAGGCCCCCAGGCAGAGAGGCCGGCAAACACCTGTCACCTCCCTGTGTCCAACGGCCCTGGTGTGAGTCCCTAGACTGTTAAAGCTGCATAACAAAGCAACAGTGAGTTTCTGGCCTGACAGTCCCCACTTTACGCACGAGAAACTGAGACACAGAGAGGGTAAGGGGCCGTCCCAGGGCCACGCACCAGGAGGTCACAGGATTCAAGCCCAGGCCCAGTCATCTGCCTCCCGCCAAGGCCTGAGACGGGAGCCTGGAGGGTCCCCGGGTGGGAGGCAGGAGCTCCTCGAACCTGGCGCCGGTCAGAGTACCAGCCCTGCAGCCCCTCAGGCCCCACGATCCCAGGAAGAGGCCGACGCCGCACGCGGCAGATGACACAGGTTAACGTCAGCAGAGGGAAGGGACGCCCAGGCGGGTGTCCAGGGTCCTCACCGGGCCGGTCTTGTGGACGTGGCTGACCTCGGTCTCCACCCCGAGAGGTAAGGCTGACGCCGTGCGGCTAAGGCCAGGGGAGCAGGGCCATCTTCTCAGGCAGGAAGCTCCTGGGCCCAGGCTGGCCATGGATGCTCAGGGCAGGGACACGCAGGCCACACACAACAGGGCCCTTCCTGTCGGGAGCCGCACCTCGGACCCTCTGTGGATATCGGGAGGCCCGGAGCCCCCCACCTCATCATGGGGACGGTGACACTCCCGTGCCCTCCTGCCGCCTTCTGGCCTTGCAGAACCCAGGGGTGGACTTCGGAGACGTGTCCGAGAGGCTGGCCCTGCGCCAGAAGCTGAAGTGTCGCAGTTTCAAGTGGTACCTGGAGAACGTGTACCCGGAGATGAGGACGTACAACAACACGCTCACGTACGGAGAGGTAGCGCCTCCGCCGGAGGGCCCCGCGCCGCCCCAGCTCCCGCACACGGTGCATTCACCGTGACGCAGGCGCACATCAACACACGTGCCTGCATGCAGGATACACGCGGATACAGACGTGGACGTGCCTAGAGGCAGGCACATGTACAGGCCCACTGTGCGTACACGCGCTCACACGCAAGTCCATTCACACACATGCACGAGTGCACGATGCAGGGGTACACGCACCAAACAGAGGAGAGGGTGCCTGGTGCTCCTGCGGCCTTGTGTCCATGAACTGACTCAGAACTAAATCCATGCAGACGTGCAGTAATGCATGTAGCTGTGCATGCAGACACAAGTACACACTTGCACGGTTTTGCTCCTGTGTACACAGCTCCTCACACACAAACGAACGCATGCCAAAGGGACCCACCCGTGCACAGGTAAACACGAGCACTTGTTACCAAGGCGAAGTGACATGAGCGTGCGCGTACAGAGGTGCACACATCTGTGCGTCCACGTGGGCAGAGCCGTGTTCGGCAGGTGCGCACACACTCATCCAGGTACATCAGCAACACAGAGACCCACCTGTCTTCAGCGGCCCCCACAGGCCTGGCCACACACACGGCGGTCTGTAAAGCCAGTGGGAAGGTGCTGCTCCTCTGCCCTCCCCGATCTGTGCAGTGGACGGGGTGCCTCCTCCTGTGGGACCTGAGCCAGAAGAGCACCCAGCCCCGAGCTCTCACTCAGACGGGGCAGGGAGAAGGGGTGCATGGGCTGGACAGTTCTCACTGAGCCTCCCATCCCTGAAGCTCCGGGTCCACCCTGTGCTGACGCCAGGCCCTTGGGCAGAGGCGTCCCGGGCAGCGTGCAGAGTGGATGGGTGCGCGTTCCCCAGCCCCCTGTGCTTGGGAAACAGGCTTGTTCCCCGAGTTCAGCCCCCTGAACTTGGCCAGCAGGCTTTGCCCACTTAGGGGGACTGCAAGGTTGCAGGGAGCAAGGCAGGAAGCCCCTCCACAGCCAAGGCACGGTCCCCTCTGTCTGAGCAAGGTTCACGCTGCTGCCTGCAAGTGTCCCTGTTGAGGGATGGTCAGGTCACGACCTGTGCGTGACAGACACGTTGTGTCTCCGTCAGTGACAGATGCGGTCCCCACCCCTTCCCTCCTGCTCCCGTGAGTCCCTCCCTCGGTGCTGGCTGCAGAGCTGGGTGGGGGAAGCTCCTGTGGCCTCACCCGCGGGTGACTCTGGCCTTTCTCCTGTGGCTTCCGGTTGCAGGTGAGAAACAGCAAAGCCAGTGGCTACTGCTTGGACCAGGGAGCGGAGGACGATGACCGAGCGATCCTCTACCCCTGCCACGGGATGTCCTCCCAGGTAAGAGTGGCAGCCGCCGCCCCATGGAGCTCCCAAGGGGAGCACCCCAGGCCACCCGCACCGCACGCCCGGGGCAGGTGGGAGGTGGGTCCCAGGGACAGAGGCACAGGGCCAGCCTGCTGGGGCTGCATTCCAGGGCTGGGAGCAGCCTGAGGGCCCCTCTAGCAGAGGCCTCCCAGCCCACCCCACCCGGAAGGCAACAGAACATGGTAAAGCCTGGGCCAGGCGGGCGGCTCACGCCTGTAATCCCAGCACGTTGGGAGGCCGAGGTGGGCGGATCACTTAAGCCCAGGAGTCAAGAGCAGCCTGGGCAGCATGGCAAACCCCGTCTCTACAAAAAAATAGAAACACCAGGCTGGCGTGGTGGTGCAGGCAGCAGAGATTGAGCTGAGTTCATAGCACTGCACACCAGCCAGGGCAACAGAGCGAGACCCTGTCCCAAAAACAAAAAGGAACCAGGCCTTTGGGGTCAGAGGGGCCTTGGGCACACCCCTCCCCATCAGTCTAGAGGGCGACGGCAGCGTTCACTGCTGGGGCTGTCCTGTGGTTACACGGAAGGTGCAGGAAGCACTGCTGCCACAACAGCAGGCCACTAGCCACTGAGCGACCCCACCGGGCTGGCTCCCCGAAGCGAGGGCCCGCCCCACTCAGTGGGATCGCAGTGGTCAGGGGCCGGGGCAGATCTGACCACGACCCCTGTTGAGACCTGGGCATTTCTGACCCCACGGGAACGCGTGTTCTCCTCACACACAGCCCTGCTTTTTAGTGGGCACTGGATGTGACCAGATTCCTGTCCTCCCCAAAATGAGGGGGGCCCCATGCTCTGAGTCCGAGCCGGCAGAAACGCAGCAACATGGGCAAGCTGAAGTCTAGGCCTGCAGGGCGCCTGGCTCTGCCCAGCCCAGCCCATACCTACATGGACCCTGCCTGGCCGGCCGCTTCCACCCCCAACAGCGTCCCCAGGGTGGGAGGCCCCGAGGCAGCCAGTCACGGCCATTTGTAGGCGGCTGAAGGCTGCTGGCTCGGGAGGGCCTGGGCTGGACGCTGCTCACGCGCAGCCCTGGTGCTCCTGTCCCCAGCTGGTGCGGTACAGCGCTGACGGCCTGCTGCAGCTGGGGCCTCTGGGCTCCACGGCTTTCCTGCCCGACTCTAAGTGTCTGGTGGATGACGGCAGGGGCCGCACGCCCACCCTGAAGAAGTGCGAGGATGTGGCACGGCCAGCACAGCGGCTGTGGGACTTCACCCAGGTCAGCCGTCGGAGGGGGGCCGCAGGGTGGGGCGGGGCCGCCGGGATCCCCGGGCGCCTCCACCACCAGCGCCAGCCCATGGTGGGGAGGCGGAGTGCAGCAGTGGGTGGGAGGGAACAGGGCCTCGATGCTCATCAAGAGGGCAGAGGACTGCCCAGGGTTGGTCGGCCACAGAGGCCAGACCGTCTGAGCAGAGGCCTCCAGCCGCCTCTTCCGGCCTCAGGTGCCTGGACAGGGGGCACTTCGGCCAGGGTGAGGTACGATTCCAGCCCGGACCGCTGGCCTGCAGGACAGGACAGGCAGGAAAGCCTCGAAGCTCCATGGAGTCAGCCCCGTCCTGGCCCCTGGGTGCTGCTGGGATGCTGGGTTTCCATTCAAGCTGCCCAGGAATGAGCCTGAGGGCTGAGCGCGCCAAGCACCTCCCCGGGAGGAGCGCGCCGGGCTGACGGGCTGCGCCTGTCTCCACAGAGCGGCCCCATTGTGAGCCGGGCCACGGGCCGCTGCCTGGAGGTGGAGATGTCCAAAGACGCCAACTTCGGGCTCCGGCTGGTAGTGCAGAGGTGCTCGGGGCAGAAGTGGATGATCAGAAACTGGATCAAACACAGCCAGCACTGACCCTGCCTCCGCCTGGACCCGCGCGGGCCTCGGGAAGGCGCTGGGCTGAGCCTGGCACACGCGGCAGGGCTCCAGGTGCGGCCCGGACATGGAGGCTGTGTCGGCCCCTCCTCAGACAGGCAGCTCTACTCGAGGGCGGGCGTCCGGGACAGCAGCACCCACTCAAACACGTGCCTTCTCCGCGGCACCTCCTGTCCCGGGACGGCCACCGCCTCTGCATGTGACGCGGCCCCCAGGGAGGCCCCGGACCCCACGCAAGGCCACCCGGGCGCTCCCATCCACAGGGTCCCATGCTCCGGGCGGCCACGCAGCCCTCCCTCCGAGACCTAAGCCACACGTCACAACACAGCTGCTCGCAATGGGTAAGGGCCGCTGGGGGACAAGGACGGTGGCAGCAGCCCCATAGACAAACCCCAGGCCGGGTCTGGGAGGCTGGCGACTGCTTCAGAGACCAAATAAAGAGCAGATCAGGCGGCGGCCGTGTGTGTCTTGCTGGGAGCCGAGCTGGCAGCTGCGACTGCGGCCCAGTCCCACCTCTCCCTGCCACGGCCCCTCACCCATTTTTATAAATAAAGTTTTACTGGCGCCCAGCCACGCTCATTGCTTACTATTGTCTGTGGCCACCACTTCTGGGCTTTCGGCGCAGAGTCAAGCAGTGGCCACGTGGCTCACAAAGCCCAAACACGGACTCCGGCCGATTAGGAAATCAGTTGCCGACGGCTGTGCTGGGATGTGGCCTGGGAGGCAGCCTTGCCATGTCCTCGGTACCAGCTGTGGGGCGACAGGGTGAGGGCCGTGGCCTGGTGCTGCTCACATCCCTCGTCACTGCCAAGCACCTCCCCCGCTGCAAAGGAGGCTGGGAAATGTCTCATGGGTCAGACGTGTGTCCCCCTAAAATCCAGGGTTTGACATTAAGAGGGAGGAGAGTAGAAGGGACATTGGTGAAAATCAGCCCCTGCCCCATGACAGAGGGGCCGTCCCCGCTCTGTTCTCGGCCACTGACACTCACAGCTACTGCGAGAGCTGCGGGCTGGTTCTCCGCGCCTGGAGCCACAGGGGCCGTGGCTGGGCCCCATGCTCAGATCCCCATGGGAGCCAAATCGCCATCTCCGGGGGGGATCACACTCCAGCCACTCACTCCTCCCTCCACCTGGAGGTGGGCGGCTCCTGCCGTCCAGACGGTGCGGGACCCCGGAGCCCGTGTGGCTCCTCTAGCAGACAAAATGCCAGGGTCCAAAACCCAGCCAAGCAGCTGTGCCCTCAGGGCGGTCTGCTGCCCCACCTTGCAGTGTCCTGGGCAGAAACTGTGGGCCCTGTTGGTGACTTCCAAGTTTCTCACAGAGTGACCTGAGAGCAGCCAGTAGGATTTCTAGATGGCAGGGCTGCTGGGGGTGCCTGAGGACCTAACCCATCCTCGCCCGGGAGCAGCCCCACAGCCCACCCTCCAGGGACACCAGCCATCCAGCGCTGTCCCCAGACGAGCAGCCACAGGCCCGCATCCCAGCGGAGTCTTTCTGGGAGAGGACTTGTTACCCGGTGCTGCCTCGGCCTCAGGCCCACGAGAGAAACCTTCCCCAAGGTCAGCGCTGCTCTGTGCTCTCAGCCCTGGCCAAAGAATCAGAACAAGCAGGTGCCACCACTCTCAACACAGACACGGAGCCACCCCGGCTGCCACCTGTGCAGACACCATGAGCTCCACACGGCCAGAAAAACGGAGATCACATTCCCTGCAGCAACAGACGCCGCTGGAGGCCGTCGGCCTGACAACAGGAACAGAAAACCAAAACCACACGTTCTCCCCGTACGTGGGAGCCGAGCACTGCATGTACACGACCCAGAGGAATGGCAGACACCGGTGATTCCCAGGACAGAGGGAGAAGGACAAGCGCTGGAAAGCCTGTCAGGAGCCACACTCACTCCCTCGGTGACGGGGCTGCCGAAAGCCAGAACCTCAGCATCACGCGACATACACACAGGACAAACCCACACGTGTATCCCTGGACCTGAAATTTTTTTTAAATGGGCCGGGTGCGGGGGCTCACACCTGTAATCCCAGCACTTTGGGAGGCTGAGGCAGGCGGATCACCTGAGGTCAAAGCCCACATGGGAGCGCATAGAAAACCTCCCAAACCTCAGCAGAACTCCCACCCTCCTGCTGAGGGAAGCCTCAGCCGGATCAGCCCCTCCTACCCGGCACCAGGAGTCGTCCCGAGGGGGGCCTGGGCGGGCGGTCCCCACAGCGCGGCGGAGGTGAGGTGCTGTCCACACTGACGGAGACTCCTCGGGCACAACCGCCACGGGGCAAACACTCTGCTTCATAAATTACGCCCGTGGCACTTCCTTGTCTCCTAACGACCCCTCTGCTCCAAAGTGGCCACGCACCTCTCGAGACCTGCCCCCGTTCTGCAGGAAGTGCCCAGGGAGGCTAGAGACCATTTAATCCCAAGAGTTCACGGGTGGGGCAGGGCGGGAGACGCCCCAACACCCACTGCCACGGCATCTGCTGCCACACAGCATCGCTGCTGAAGACGGTCCCTGTGTGCCTTCGTGGCCAGTGCTTGCCCTGGCCAACACCCGCCGTGGCCACCAGGACGTCCGTGCTGGCCTCGATTCCCGCCTGCCTCACTGGGGTGCCCCCCATGGGGCCCAGCCACACCTGCTTGCCTCAGTCACAGACATGCTGGATGCCTGTCCGTCCGCTGTTCAGGCTGAAACCTGACCTGACGTGGAGGTGGGACTGCTGAGGCGCCCGGGTCCCTCCTGAGCAGCTCGGCCCTGTTCTCAGGGTAACTACTAACGTTCATCCAGTCGTTTCTGAGGGAGCTGTTTGTTAAAAGCATCCGGCACTGCCCTTCCTCCCTGGCTTCTTCCTCCCCACCCCCAGCTGACCCCCATGGCTCCTTAGAGCTGAGCCCACCTAGAAGCTGAAGAGCTCACAGGAGATGCAGCCACTATGCCGAGAATGGACGGAAGGAACAGCAAACGGGGAGACTGAGGCACAGACAACCTTCCCAGTGTCGAGGCACAGGACGCAGGGGCTGAGAATCCCCCTTCCTTCCCGGAGCCAGGGCCGGTGCTGGGAGCTGGGGCCTCACTGAGCCGCACCCCTGAGGAAATCAGACACCGCCTGCAGCACCCAGGGGTGCTGGAGCCGCCCCTTCCCCTCGCCACCCTGCAAGGGCCAGCCCTTTAGCTTTCAGGAACGCTGGGAGCCAGCTGTTTAATAAGCCATTATTCAGATCCAACAGTATGAAACCACGCTGAAATTAACATATTACGCCGGGCGCGGTGGCTCACACCTGTAATCCCAGCACTTTGGGAGGCCAAGGCAGGAGACGCACCTGAAGTTAGGAGTTTGAGACCAGCCCGGCCAACATGGCAAAACCCCGTCTCTATAAAAAATACAAAAACTAGCCAGGTGTGGTGATGCGTGCCTGTAGTCCCACCTACTCGGGAGGCCGAGGCAGGAGAATCGCTTGAACCTGGGAGGCGGAGGTTGCGGTGAGCCGAGATTGAGCCACTGCACTGCAGCCTGGGTGACAGAGCAAGATCCTGCCTCAAAAATAAATAAAAATAAACTATATTAAAAGCAAAGATAACTCAGAAGGCATCCGTCATAATGATGACAGGATTTTACTGTCTGTGCTCCGAGGCTGTTTGCTTCTGTTGTGCAGTGCCCCCCATGCCCAGCCAGGGTCAGAGCTGAGGCTGCGACAGGGCCTGGAGAGCGGGTGGGGGAGGGGGGGCGCCGGGGCCTGGAGAGTGGGTGGGGTGGGGCGGGGCCTGGAGTGGGGAGGGCTGGGGGGGGCGCCGGGGCCTGGAGAGCGGGCGGGACTGGGGGGGGTCGGTGCCTGGAGAGCTGGCGGGGGCGGCGGGTCTGTCGGGCTTTTCCTTGCAATGTCCTGGGAATCTAAAACTACATCAAAGTAAACAGGTTTTTGTAAGACACGACCCTGGCTTCAGCCCTGCGGCGCAGATAGGGGCTGCTCAGGGTCAGGGGCCGGGAGAGGCGCAGGAGGACGGGGCCTTTGCCACGCCGCCGGTGGTGGAGACAGAGCGGGAACATGCGTCACCAGCCGTGGAACTGCACGCAGGAGCTGGGTGCCTCCCGTCGCGAGGAGCCCGCGTGCAGTGGTTTAAAAGGGGAAAGGGGCCGCCCCAGGCTGGCCCTCCCCTCCTCTGCCACTGTCCCTCCTCATCCCTCCAGCCATCTGCACCTCCGTGCTCCGTCCACGGAAGGACAGGCCCCGCCCTGACTCCCTCACGAAGCAGCTGAGCCGGACAGGCACCCCGCAGCCCCCGCACGGATCTCGGCTTCCACTCGCAGGCACCACACCTCGCCCCTCACCCCACACCAGGCAGTTCCCTGCAGGCCCCACCAGGGGAGCGCCCACGCTGCACACGCCACGGCCAAGCCAGACAGCTGTGTCTACACCGCACACATCACAGCACAGGCACCACAAACAGGCCCAGGGAGCCGCGTCTACACCGCAGACACCGCAAACAAGCCCAGGGAGCTGCGTCTACACCTACCCCACACTTTCCTACAGGCCCAGCAGAGGGGAAAAAGCACCCTCCCGAGGGTGGAAGAGTCATGGCCAGCGGACAGACATGGACAGGCAACAGGCAGGCCAGGACCTGGCCCCGTGTGTCCTTCACAGTCCGGGTGACGGAGTCCACAGAGTATAGACACAGACCCCAAGGGCACAGCCCCTCACCAGCCAGCGCCAGGTGCCTTCCCCCCAGGCAGGGACGATCCCACCCACGCCCTGGGCGGTGCTCAAGATGGGGACGGGGTGAGCCACAGAACCCATTTCATCTCTGGAATAAAATGGAGTGAGGCGTTAAGCTCCGCCTGGCCTGGGTGGGTTCGTGTGAAATCAGGACAGGGCTGGGGAGGTGGCAGAGTCGGGAGGGGAGAGGCCAGAGAGGAGGGCTCGTTCCCCAAGCAGCAGCTCCCGGCCCAGCTTGGGCACTGTGGAAGCTCCTCTGTGCACTGAGCCCGGCTGCCCGGTGGGCAGCGCCCCCCCTCCCTCCTCGCCCTCCCTCCGTCCCTCCCCCTCCTCCTCCTCCTCCTCCCTCCCTCCTCCTCCCTCCCTCCTCCTCCCCCTCCCTCCTCCTCCTCCCCCCCCTCCTCCTCCTCCCTCCTCCTCCCCCCCTCCCTCCTCCTCCTCCCTCCTCCTCCTCCTTCCTCCTCCCCCCCTCCTCCTCCTCCTTCCTCCTCCTCTCTCCCTCCTCCTCCCTCCCTCCTCCTCCTCCCTCCCTCCTCCTCCTCCCTCCCTCCTCCTCCTCCCTCCCTCCTCCTCCTCCCTCCCTCCTCCTCCTCCTTCCCCTCCCTCCCTCCTCCTCCCCCTCTCTCCTCCTCCTCCCCCTCCTCCTCCTCCCCCCTCCCTCCTCCTCCTCCCCCCTCCCTCCTCCTCCTCCCTCCCTCCTCCTCCTCCCCTTCCCTCCCTCCCTCCTCCTCCCCCTCCCTCCCTCCTCCCCCTCCCCCTCCTCCTCCTCCCCCTTCCTCCCTCCTCCTCCTCCCTCCTCTTCCTCCTGCTCCTCCTCTGTGCACTGAGCCCCACTGCCTGCCAGGTGAGCAACCCCTTCCTACCACTCACCCCCCCACCGTGGCTCCTGAAAACCGCCAGTGTCTTCCTCTCAATGGCCGGTCCCACCTTCCAACCAGAAACGTTGTGGGCAATCCTCCTGGCTCTGAAGGGCTAGTGAGCAGCTGGGGCCTCCCCGCTGGCCCCTTTTGAGTTAACTGTGCCACACGGGCCACACCCTCAGGTTCCAGGGCTCCTGTGGAGAAGTTCTGCTCACCACCCTCACCTTCCTGTATGTCAGGGCCGGTCCTTCCACGGTGGGCGCGGGGCACTGTTTCAGGAGCGCGAAACCCAGTGGAGAGGCGAGTTAAGGCCCCACACCCTTCCCCACGTTCCACCAACCAAGCAAATCACAAAGGCCACCAAGACCCAGGGCCTAGGACTCAGCCGGGCCCTGTCGGCCCAACCACAGTCCCACAGATGCAAGGACACAGCCAGGAGATCGGGGCCCCTGGGGTGGCGAATCCCGCAGCCGCTCTCCGCCCAACGAGTCACCTTCCCCCATAAAACCGCCTTCTCCCCTCCACAGACCCCCAGAGCCCCATCGAGATCAAAGCCTCCGCACATGACGGGCAGCTCATCAACATCCCGAAGCCCCCCGCCTGTCGCCCGGTCCCCGCTTAGGGACTGTCCCCTGGCCATTGGCCGTCCTGCTCCCTGCTGTGTGGCCAGGTGGGGATGAGGAGTGTCCCTTAGCCACGGCCGTCCTACTCCCGGCTGCGTGGTCCTCTGGGCGCGTGGCTCCTCCCTCCTGGGCCCTGGCCCTGGTGTGAGCTGCCTTTTCCGTAGGAGACGCGTGCTTACAGCTCACGCCTTTGCCTGGTGCCTGGGCCTCCTGCCTGCGGGAGTCACGTCCCCGGGGGCCTCTCTGTCCTCCCGTGTCTCAGCTCAGAGAAGCCCAGCCAGACTCCTCCAGGCCTGACTGACGCACAGCCCGCGGGGCGAGGCCGGACTCCCTCCCCGGCGCTGGGGCCCCGCAGATGGAGGAGGCAGCCCCCTGCCCGTCGCTCGGGGGTCTGAGACCACAGTGGAATATGACAGCGACGAAGGCTGTGTCCTGGAGGCAGGCTCAGAGCCCCGGCCTCGGAGAGCCCGCCCGGAAGCCACACCTGCCCGACCCAGTGGAACCGGAGGCTCAAGCGCCGCGGTCGGTGCTGCCCGCGTGGGCAAGAACGGCCTCCCAGCGCCAAAGTTAATTAAACTGACCATCTTGATAAGTCGCACCCTTAACTGTTCGGGGACAAAAGATGGGACGCCTCTGTGGCTTCTTCCTGCTCTCTCGACTGCCCCCCCAGGCATTTTAAAATTAACTTAAGCGGCTTATCTGCGCTAACGCAGACGACCAGCTGGCGTTTCCCGGGCGACTAAGCAGCCGGGGCCCGGCCTGCACCCCGCACAGTCCCCGCCAAGCCCGAGTCACCGGCCACGCCTCCGGGGCTTTGAGGTGGGTTTCAAATCTGG